ATCTCGCGCCTCCCCGGCCGGCCAGGCGGTAGCGACCAGTGCGCGGAACCTTTTCGAGCACCCAGATCTCGCAGTTGGACGGGTTCCAGACCTACGGAGAGAGCATACCTCCCCATATCTCCCCATATCTCCCCATATCTCCGCAGATCTCGCAGTTGGACGGGTTCCAGACCTACGGAGAGAGCATACCTCCCCATATCTCCCCATATCTCCCCATATCTCCCCATATCTCCGCAGATCTCGCAGTTGGACGGGTTCCAGACCTACGGAGAGAGCATACCTCCCCATATCTCCCCATATCTCCCCGTATCTCCGCAGTTTTCGCAGTTGGACGGGTTCCAGACCTACGGAGAGAGCATACCTCCCCATATCTCCCCATATCTCCCCATATCTCCCCATATCTCCCCATATCTCCGCAGATCTCGCAGTTGGACGGGTTCCAGACCTACGGAGAGAGCATACCTCCCCATATCTCCCCATATCTCCCCAGGTCGTGGGGAGAGATGGCTCCTCACTTGCTCAAACTCGTCCAGTGGAAGTAGCACATCGAGAAGATGCGCATATCTCCCCAGATCTCCCCAGACATCTCCCCATATCTCCCCAGATCTCACTTGCTCAAACTCGGAGACGGTCCAGTGGAAGTAGCACATCGAGAAGATGCGCATGAGCAGCCCGTGCGTCATCAGCACGCAGTTGTCCGCCGTGCGGCGGCGCTCGCCCGAGTCGAAGTGTGCAAAGAGCGTCGAGATGAAGTCCTACGTGCTGAATACCATCGTCAGCATCATCATCATCATCATCATCATCATCATCATCATCATCATCATCATCATCATCATGTTAGGGTTCTTAGATTTTCGAGTGTCCTCCTCTCCCGCTCCTCCTTCCCGCCGGACCCCTCTTGTGGTCCCCCGACATGAGGGCGTGAAGACGGTAGTGTGAAGACGGTAGTGTGAAGACGGTAGTATGCAGCGTATTCGGAGCACCGCGTGAGTACAACGAATAGGAGTACAGTGAGTGCAGCTGAATACGGGTGAATACAGTGGAGTACGTCTCCTCTCGAGTGCTGGTTGGGAGACATGAATGCGTATCCCGCTTCTAGGCCCGAGATATGGGGAGATGTGGGGAGATATTCCGCTTCTAGGGATGAAGTCCGACACGCGGTCAAAGACGTCGGTGCCCGCCTCGCCGTTGGGGAAGCGGAAGAAGAAGCGGCCGAACTTCATCCGGTCCTCGCGCAGGCGGCTCATCGAGAGCGGGTCCTGCTGTCGAGATCCGCCGAGATCCGCCGAGATCCGCCGAGATCCGCCGAGATCCGCCGAGATCAGCCGAGATCCGCCGAGATGATCCCGAGATTAGGCTCATCGAGCGCGTCCTGGAAGTTGCCGAAATCCTGCTCCCGCAGCCGCGGCTCGGAGGCGATCTCGACCGGCTGCCCCTCGAAGGCCTGCAGGATCGCGAGCAGCGTCTGGCGCACGCGCAGGTAGGGCGAGTAGTAGAAGCGCACAGACCCGTTGCCCACCAGCCTCCGTATCTCGCGCCCGCATGCCGTGCCCTGCTCGAAGCCGCGCTCTGTGAGCGAGATCTGCGAGTCAGGCGTGGACGAGTACGCGGACGAGTTGACGTTGCCGATCGACTCGCCGTGCCGAACGAGAATGATGCGCTTCGGTCGGTTCCGCCGGCGCCACCGCGCCAGTCGTCGGTCTAGCCAGCCGAGCAGCGGCGAGATACCTCTCTCCCGCGACGTAGCTTCCAGAGGCGAAACTGCCCGAGGTGCGCTGACGCGAACGCTGCCCGAGCTGCTGGCCGCGACGCAGACGAGTAGCAAGCGGAGCACACACGTGTGTGTATATCTGGACATACGACCCGGCAAACACCCGGAAAGTGCGGCAAAAATAAACGGACGCAATTCTCCGGCCCCGGGGGAGGCTTGGAGTCAGTGGAAGGCTGAGAGTCGAACGAGAGGGACGGCCGTACTTTGCGCGTGCGCGCGGCCTGCTATGCGCGCGGCCGGCCCGGCGGAGCGAGCGGCCGGCCGCGGACCTGACCAGCCTCCTTCTGGGCCATCCTCACTGGCTTCCGCCGCCGCCGTCGCCCTCGCAGACCCGCCCGCCATGCTCGCCGCAGCGCCTGCGCACACGTCACAAGCGCCATTTCAAGAGCCCACAGATCCGCCAGCTCTGGGCGAGGGCCAGCCGGGCACGTCAGCTCCCACCTTGCAGCAGCCCTCGCAGCAGCCCTCGCAGCCCTCGCAGCAGCCCTCGCAGCAGCCAGCGCAGCAGCCCTCGCAGCAGCCAGCGCAGCAGCCCTCACAGCAGCCAGCGCAGCAGCCCTCGCAGCAGCCAGCGCAGCAGCCCTCGCAACAGCCAGCGCAGCAGCCCTCGCAGCAGCCAGCACCCCCAGCCCTCCCCGCTCCCTCATACGCTTACGGTGCCTCCAATGACTTCGTGGAACTCATGCAAGTCAACCAGTGTGGCGACATCCAGACGAGCACCACCCTCATCTTCTCACCACCACGAACCACGATGGGGCCGCTCACTGTGCAGGTTGCGGCTACCTATCCAGTGGCCCTTTGCATCGCCCACGACGGCACGCTTCTCGTCCCGAACCACGGCAACGACTCTGTCTTCCGAGACACCGACCTCGCGTCCCAGCTGGAGGGCCGCAACCTCTTCGAAGACGACACCCAAACCCTCCTCTCCCGCTTCACCATTATGAAACCCCCTGACAGCGCCCCCCTCTGGTCACTCCACAACCCTCCCAC